ACCAGCAAACCAGAGACTTTCCTTTGATTAATTTGTTGTTGTCGTTTTTTGTTTAGGAAAAGAAAGAGAAAAAAAAAAAGTAAGACATTTCAAAGGCTACTTATCAGTGGCAAGAGCTACTCACAAGCCTAGTGAAATGACAAGTCAGTTGTTGCAAGGATAAGAACACATAAGGTCCTTTTCATCCTGATTTATGCTAAAATAGGTATGCATTTTGTCTAAATAGTAGGATCGCACACATTTTTATGTTTGGAAGTTTACTCAAAAATAGTATGCAAGTACTTTTAAAACACTACAGCTTGAAACAACGCATGAAAGAAACAATCTGCAGGCCTATCATGCACAACGGGTATCACAAGGTTCTGATGGACAACAGGGAAAGTACAGATGATCAGAAATTACATGATTGTTGTAATTAAAAATAGTAAAACAATTACATTACAGGAAATACTAAAAGTACAGTAACTTTTGCAGTCTGTAGATTCTGTGAGAAGAATGGGTTTAGTGCTGTATTAGTTATTACTGAAACTCAAACAGTACTAGCTCCTTAATCTACAGTGGCACTGCATATGCATGTCAGGATTCGCTGTTTGAGTTGTACTGGTCATTAAGACAGGTAACATTCAATAAAGTTGAGATAAAACATCAGTTATCAGAAGAACAAATGTATAAAATTCCCTGAAAAATTGCAGAGAAGTCAAGAGTGGCTGCTAATATCAGATAACGCAAGAGAGGAAATGTGCTTGCCCTAGAGCGTGGCAGTGCCCACCAGCGGACTGTCTACGTTGGACTTACTCTCACAAGAATCCCCAGCCTGTCTGTCTGTCATGGGGGTTAGTTTTAAGTCCAGACAGAACTGTTCCAGCCCATTCTTGGCAAAGGCTTCTGAACTGCTCTGGAAAACATCTCCCTTTTCACAGCAATAATGCATCATGAGCTCAGAATCTTGCGTGAACGTACATCCAAATAGTTTACAGAGGATAAAAATACACCCAAAATTCATGAAGGTTTTATTCCCCACCTTTTCCCCTCAATGTGAAGGCTACTTTGCTTTTGTCCCCCTCCCGCCTCCCCCTCACCCTCTCAAATAAGCAGATGCAATCAAGGAGAAATTTATTTTGAACCAGTTCTGCAAAACAGTTCAACAATGCCATACTTTATAAAAATACTTAGTTACATAATTAAACTTATTACTATTTATATAAAAAGTGTGAATGTGAATTTTAAACTCTGTTAGGGTAAGAACCACAAGGAATCTGGGATCCTTCATCAGAGCCCAGGTTTTCCACTTAAGACCATCACATAAAAAATAGACACACCCATCACATTCCTATCTACTGTCTCTTCCCACCTGTCTTCAAAGAGTCTTCCAGAGATGCGCATCTCAGGGGTTCCGAGCTCTGCACTGACTGTAGTGCCTGGAGGATCAGTGGCAGTCTTGCTCCTGCACTAGAAGGAATCTCTACTTCTCAGTGTGAGCGCACAGAGAGTCCAAGCACCTACTGTACAAGACAAACACAATTCTGGATTATGGATTTAGTCCTAAATTCTTTAGTAAGGTACGAGAATTCAAATTTTCTGTTTGCAATGTACTGCTTAAGTGAGTGTTCCTGGGCTTTAGACCCAACATAAGTGAAGTCTCGTGTATTGGGGGAAAGTTGGCACAAATACAAACATCTACAGCACCTTCATAGAAAACTTAAAAACTGAGTTTATTCACAGAATCTTGATTGAACTGAATAGTTCAAAATCAATAACAGTGAAGGCACCTTAAGTTTAGTTGCTTATATTAATTTATACTCTTTCCAAATGTGGATAAGGTGTTTTAGAGTGAATGGTATTGAAGATGACTATGGGTCATCCCGCATTCTGCCTGCTTTCTACCCACCAGCAAACCAGAGACTTTCCTTTGATTAATTTGTTGTTGTCGTTTTTTGTTTAGGAAAAGAAAGAGAAAAAAAAAAAGTAAGACATTTCAAAGGCTACTTATCAGTGGCAAGAGCTACTCACAAGCCTAGTGAAATGACAAGTCAGTTGTTGCAAGGATAAGAACACATAAGGTCCTTTTCATCCTGATTTATGCTAAAATAGGTATGCATTTTGTCTAAATAGTAGGATCGCACACATTTTTATGTTTGGAAGTTTACTCAAAAATAGTATGCAAGTACTTTTAAAACACTACAGCTTGAAACAACGCATGAAAGAAACAATCTGCAGGCCTATCATGCACAACGGGTATCACAAGGTTCTGATGGACAACAGGGAAAGTACAGATGATCAGAAATTACATGATTGTTGTAATTAAAAATAGTAAAACAATTACATTACAGGAAATACTAAAAGTACAGTAACTTTTGCAGTCTGTAGATTCTGTGAGAAGAATGGGTTTAGTGCTGTATTAGTTATTACTGAAACTCAAACAGTACTAGCTCCTTAATCTACAGTGGCACTGCATATGCATGTCAGGATTCGCTGTTTGAGTTGTACTGGTCATTAAGACAGGTAACATTCAATAAAGTTGAGATAAAACATCAGTTATCAGAAGAACAAATGTATAAAATTCCCTGAAAAATTGCAGAGAAGTCAAGAGTGGCTGCTAATATCAGATAACGCAAGAGAGGAAATGTGCTTGCCCTAGAGCGTGGCAGTGCCCACCAGCGGACTGTCTACGTTGGACTTACTCTCACAAGAATCCCCAGCCTGTCTGTCTGTCATGGGGGTTAGTTTTAAGTCCAGACAGAACTGTTCCAGCCCATTCTTGGCAAAGGCTTCTGAACTGCTCTGGAAAACATCTCCCTTTTCACAGCAATAATGCATCATGAGCTCAGAATCTTGCGTGAACGTACATCCAAATAATTTACAGAGGATAAAAATACACCCAAAATTCATGAAGGTTTTATTCCCCACCTTTTCCCCTCAATGTGAAGGCTACTTTGCTTTTGTCCCCCTCCCGCCTCCCCCTCACCCTCTCAAATAAGCAGATGCAATCAAGGAGAAATTTATTTTGAACCAGTTCTGCAAAACAGTTCAACAATGCCATACTTTATAAAAATACTTAGTTACATAATTAAACTTATTACTATTTATATAAAAAGTGTGAATGTGAATTTTAAACTCTGTTAGGGTAAGAACCACATCAAGGTCTTCAGGTGAAACAAATAAATTTTCATAAACATACAAACTCTTTTGGAGAAGTCTTATAATACACAACCATTTACAATGAACACGTTCATTAAGTTAGTGTTTTATTCCTTTACTATACAAGTGTTATTACAATGAACTGTTCCATTCAGTAATTAAAAATCCAAACAATGCCAGTTTAATTTTTGGCATTTTTTGTTATAACTGTATTAATACATAAACTCATATGATTGTGTTATTAATTTTAAAATATTTAGAAAAATTAAAATGCCATTGTATTTTTTGGGTTTTTTGATTATTTTTGTGTGGTTTTTTTTGTTCTGCTTTTGTTTTTCTTACATAAAGCCCTTTTAAAATTTGATAACCACATGATGAGCAATGATGAAGGAAAATGAGAAATGATGGCACTGTTTTCACAAAGATCTGTTTCGTAGTTGGATTCGATGTAGTGTAAACCCATGAAGAATGTTAAGTTTAGTACCAGAATTGTATGACCAGCTTTTGTGAAATTCATTTGTTGGATAGCTTTACAATGATAACACGAATTCCAACCTGGTAGCTAAGTTAAGAGTTTAGTGTTCCAAAATTAAAGTACAGAAGCTTGATCAGAAATTCAAGAACCTCATGCAAATTGTTGAGTAAAAGACATGGATGTTATTGCTTGATATGTCAGTAGCCAAAGAAAAGAAATCTGTATGTAGTGTCAGCTGGGCTGAGTACCAGCAAATTGCAATGTCACTATATTTGGACAATATTAAATATATTTTATCCCTTTAATTTTTAAACTTTCACATTTTCTTTTGTTTATGTTTAGTTAAATAATTCTGTAGGTAGGGCAGAAGTGGGAAGAACAACTGCGTGTAAGTGTGTCTTAATAGTCAAGAAAAGCAAAAGTGCAATCAAATCCCTGAACTAGTGGTGACAACTAGCATTTGTGGCACCCACCTTTGTTAACACATATAAGCCACATACAACAGTACCAAACCTGTCTCTGAAAAAAGGACTAAGAAGTGGCCATTTACCAGCTTCAGTCTTGCTTTCCTGGTGAGCTTTGTTCAGGTAGTCTTCCCATACAAAAGCTCGCTGTGGGATTGGAGCTTAAAAGATTAAAGACTTTTCCCCCCTGATTGTATTACATAGCTTCAAGTTCAAATGTCATCATACTTTATCAACACAATTTTGTAAAATATTACCTCATTTTCTAGTTACCTTCATTATTCTTAATTAGCTATGCAGAAAGAAAAAAAGAAAAATCTCTCATGCTACTTTCCAGTTATATTAATACAAAGATTAACACAGTGCATTATGCTCTCTAATTTCACTATTGAGGTCTATCATTTACATCATTTGTCATTCACTGTTCCAATTTTCTCTTTTAACCTGCCTACCCTAATTAAGTCCATGCAAGAGGAAGCTTAAAGATCAAGACTATACATCAAATACAGTTGTACCATCTGTTTTTTGGGGGGTGTGGGTGGCACATATATGTAATATGTAACACAGGGGTTTTACAGAACTGGAATAGAATTGCTTGGTCCCACAAAATTCTTCTGCTTTAAAAACGTCTTAGCCCAAGATCATTAATTCCAGACAATTTCCTCTTTAGTAGAATGATTATCAGATGTTGGGAAAAGAAAGGATTTGAAACATGTTTTTTCGGCTATTGTTCACACCAACGCTCGTTTTTCTACCCCGTATTTTCAGTAAGCTTCCTTTGGACCCTGAAAATAAGTTGGGAAAGTGGAAAAAAAAAAACCAAACAAACATGTCATTGGTAATTAGGTTATAACACTTTCAAAGTGGTTTTGTGCAATTGCATTAGGAAATTCCAGTTTGCCATTAAGAGCATGCAAAGTAGCGAAGATTTTCTTTCCTTTGATTCCTTATGGACATCAGGAATTCTTTGCAAGTCTTTTACATTTGGCAGATTTGTGCATGTTATATAGACTGTTGGCTTATAAATTGTCTCCAGGCTGGTACTGTGGTTCTGTAGCTGTAAAGTAGTCCTCCAAGAAAGACTGTATATATTCAAATGTTGGTCTCTCGTCAGGGTCCTTCTTCCAACACAGTTTCATTAACTCATGGAGAGACTCTGGGCAGCCTTGTGGGCAAGGCATCCTATATCCACGCTCCACTTGCTCCAGAACTTCCCGATTCACCATCCCTAAAGGGAAAGCATGTTAGTTCTGAATGACATTATGCAAAGAGCAGTTTCTCCAAACTTTTTCAAGTATCTCCAGCTGCAGTGCACATCAATCTACCATGACAGAACCTTTAATGAACACACTTTATAATTAATGATTTTTTTACATTTTGCATTAAATATGCTTCCTGAAAACTATTTCATTATACTGGTAATTCCTCAGTATCTGATCCTTCTTCCATTTATACGCTTTCTCATTTGTATAATTTCCCACTGCCTTGGGCCTGGCTTTTCAAATGGACACTCAAGCACAAGTACCTTCTGCTTGCCTTAGGTTCCATTCAAGGACCACTTAATTTGAAACAAGGCCAAGAAAAGACTTTTTTTGCCTTACAGAACAGCCTTACAAATTCCAGTCACAGCAAAATATCTGACAAAAAATGTTACACACGTTTAGTTTCAAAAACTGGTCTAGCAGGTTCACTCTACTGATACACACCGTAGCCCTGGAAAATGTCAAAAGTATAACTTCCAGGGACAGATAGAAGAACCTAAGGATAACCACTAATCTGAAATGAATTATCAGTCACATTTGCAAATGCTATTAGCTTAGAACACTTAAAAATATATATAATAGTTAATCTGTAAATGAAACAAAGTAGCTTCGTGAACAAAGGAACCAGTGAAGCGTGACTAAGTTTTTGCCTCTGCTTGTCAACTGTGGGTTCAGAACAAAGGTAAAAAGTACAAAAGGTAACTTCAAAAGCACAGAATACAACAACAAAAAAAAGAAAAATCAATTACATTTTTCCCTTACCTGGATATGGCACTCTCCCCTTTGTTACCAGCTCTGTCAGTAAAATTCCAAATGACCACACATCCGACTTGATTGTAAACCGACCATACAACGCTGCTTCTGGAGCAGTCCATTTAATTGGAAACTTAGCCCCTGCAAACATTGGAAGGATAGATCATTTTCCCTTGCTTATGCATAATTTGGGTACACTTAGAAATATTTTTAAAAGACTACTGCATGAAAAAAATGTTTACATTTTGCTTTGTTGACAAAATTTGAGGTAGCTTAGTATTTGAAGACTTCAAACTGGAAACTGGTTTCCAACTAGACGGTAACTACTGGTTGCAATTTTTGGAAGCTGCTGAGATATCAAGGACTCTTAAGAATGTTTAAAAAAGTGGGATGACCTTCAGAATCTGATGAGCAACCTCTCTAGAACCTCATCTCTCTTCTAACTGCAACAGATTTTACTTACTTACTCCCCCCAAGTAACCCATTTTTTTTTCAAAACATAACTGAACTGTCAGATAATTTTGAACATTAAAAAGTTCACTAAAATGGCACTGAGGCAAGGGGACACCTAAACATAGCTGTGAGAGCACATTTATATGCCTAATCTTTATTCATGCAGACAGAGTATACAGACACATTCTGATAAATGTAGCAGTTCTAAGTAATTTGAAGTTAACTGGTCTTATTTATTCAGTAAATAAATCAGTCTTACCTTGTCTTGCAGTGTACTCATTGTCCTCTATTAACCTTGCTAAACCAAAGTCTGCTATTTTGCACACAAGATTGTCTCCTACAAGAATGTTAGCTGCCCGGAGATCCCTGTGGATGTAGTTCATTCTTTCAATGTAAGCCATGCCATCAGCAATCTTTAAAAATAAAGTTTTATTAAAGATTATTTTTCATGACTATAGATATTTCTCCCGAGCATTAAACTATATCCCTTCATTTTTGCTCCAGTCTTGTTGTGTAAGTTTGGGAAGCATAGCACAGGTATAGAGCATAGCAAGAGCTTGTGGCAGCACTGGTTAGAGCATGTCTGGCCAACTGGGAAATAGGCCGTTGCTTTTTGTCAAATTACAAACCTACACAGAAGATGTTAAAACAGAACAGCATAAAATATTTGGAGCATTCAGTATTTACATGTAGTTGATATTCCATAGTTTTAAATCTCTTCTCTAAGTACAAAATACAGTTTTCTTAGTTTATACAATGTACCTGAGCAGCCATGTCCACCAGCTGTGGGAGTTTTAGGTATTTCCCTTCTCCTTCTTTAAGGAAATCTAGCAAGCTGCCTGTAAAAGATGACACTTTTTTTAGGAAGAAAAAAAGGAAAAAAGCCCAAAACATTAATTTGACCTGAAAAAATGAATGGGATTTTTTTTTTCCTAGACACTGACTTACACACTCATCTCCCCAAATCTACCTTTGGAAACCTGTCATGTAACAGAACACATGACACAATGACTATGCCTGTAGTTGACTCCAGCCTGATGACTATTTAGTACAAGTTTAATGCAAGTATTTTGGAATCCATTTCAATAATTCAGGTAAACTGAACACTGCTTGATGGTTTTATGGCAATACATAAGGATTATTCCCAATATACCTGCTATCAATGTCCTTCCTAGTTGGACTTTTTTGCACAGTGATATTTATAATTCAAGAACAAAAACCTCCTAACCATTACTTGATTTCTTCTGCTAGCTCCAATTATATACTAGAGAAACGATTCTGAAATTGTTGCTTTTATTTAGTTTCTTTATTTTCCTTACTGGGGAAAACAAAAGTATCTTCCATTCTTTACAATATATTACCTTCTCCCACTTATATAATGCAATCGTGTTCAGAACCTCTGCTTTTGCAAGGTTGCATCCCAGTTCTGACAGAAAGCTATAAAGCTTTTTTTTTCCCTGATTGCTTTGCCAAAACCTGATTTCTGAACAATAAAAACTGATTTTGCACAACAGCTTTTAAGATCTGAGAGAGAAACTGTCTAGTGTTATTCAAGACCAGCACTGCTGGAAAAGCAAAACTAAAAATTTAAAAAGAAACCAGACCCAACTGATTCTGTCACAGTAAGCAAGTTCCGTCTACAGGCAGGTGTATTCACATAATAGTATTCCCAGCCATACCTTTCAATTTACATGTAAGACGCAGCACACACTAAAAAATAAGGAGAAAAAAACCCAATCTGGTATTTGGAAGATTACTGAGGGTGACACAGAGTGCAAAAAAAAATCATTCCTCCACCCACAGTCTAAATCAGAACTGCTTCAAGTAGGTCAAGCGTTGCTCATTTTAATTTAATCAAAATTACCACTTATATTTCCAGGAAGCTTAAACCTAACTTTAATTACACATTTAATTTGTTGCTGGGATCTTAAATAACCTTTTAAATGTAGTATCTCCAAACCATTCTGTCACACACCTTTTGTCATGAATTCAGTGACGATGTAGATGGGCTCCTCAGAAACAACCGCGTACAGCGGGACAAGCTTGTCGTGGCGTAATTTCTTCATGATCTGAGCCTCCTGCAAGAATGCTTCTGGCATCATTGTACCAGGTTTTAGTGTCTTGATCGCTACTTTTGTGGTTCCATTCCATGTTCCTAGAGAAACAAATCAGATTTTATTCTCCACTATAATACTGAACAGATTTTTGGCTGAAACTGTTTGTTTGCTTTTTGTTTCTGTTTTCTTAGCTATCAAAATAATTAATTACAAAGTAGGACTATACTGACTATTAATTTTACCTTTAAATGACTGATCAGAATTGGTATTTTTTCCCTTCAATTCTGTATTAGATTATCTTTTCAGATCCCAATATCAATTTACTTAAAATACTATTAAAACATTCACATGAGCTACTGAGAAGTGTCACATTAAGCTCTTACCCATCCAAACTTCACCAAAACATCCTTGGCCCAACTTAACTTCCAGCCTCAGAGATTCTCTAGGAATTTCCCAGGCATCTTTTGCCAGTCCCTGTGTTTGTGGTTTCACAGTGGGACACACAGTTGTTAGCTTATGACACAGTCCGTCGGCATGTTCTGGGAAACCGAAAAGATATAAAAGCAACATGTTGATAAAAAGAACTAGTCCATTTTTGTTTGTCAAAATAAAAACCAGAATTATACAGCTGTGAATTTTAAAAATAAGCATTTTTTCTTCCTCACAACAGGCAGAAGGTAGTATTGGGACACTAGAACTTGGGCTTACCTCTGTAGTGTTTCACCAACTTCTGTAGAGATTCAAATTGTGCTCTGGTTGTGATATAGTATCCACCATTGTCAAGTTTTCTGATTTTGTAGTGTTTCACATTATCACCTCTGACCTCATCCCAGTCACGTATGGAAAGGGAGTAAGCACCTAAGAAACAAGTCACACTTGGTTCTTCACCAAACATTTAACACCATATTTACTCTATCTTCCCCACTGTCATTATACACATACACATACATGTGTGCATTGGCACCCTGACTGAGGCAGGGGGAGGAATGGGAGAGAGAAGAGATATACATACCTTTAGTGGTTTCACTCTCTCTTACTAAGAAAATGCCACGCTGGTTCCCAGGATTTAGAAGGAGCCTTTCTGCATCCTTCCTGCCCATCTTACCAAAATACCACCTAAAAAAATGTTAAAGGAAATATGTGCATGTAAAATCTTTCTATGCTTTGGTAGTCATATAAATACAAGGTTTAGAAATCTCAGGCATTGACTGGACTACTAATATCCTAAAGCAGTTACAGATTAACAAAGGTAATGACATCCATGTATGATAAAGATGACCTATTTGTATATGACTTCATCTCTACTGTTTGCAAAACACATGTGAGGAGGCCTCTATCCAAGTTTTTCCTGATAGCTTAACAATGGGCATCAACAACACTTAACATTGAAGGAAACACCCTCCTTCTGCTTAAGACATTCACAGGTCAAGCTGCATCAGATGATACACTTTGCGAGCACACTCAAAAAACTGCAGCAGCTGAAATTACCTTCTCTAAGAAGTTTTGGCTGTAGGTCAGAAAACAGTATTTAATGCCAAGTGGATGTGTATAAATATCATCAGATCATCAATCATTCAGGTTGCCAGGGGACCTTGGAAGGTCTCTGGTCCAGCCTCCTACTGCAAGCAGATGAGACCTTGCTACTCAGGGTGTTGTCTGCTCCAGCCTTGAAAAGCTTCAAGGACAGACCCTGCTTAGCCAGACCGAGAAACCTCTGTCCCTGCCTGGCTGTCCTCAGGATAAAAACTTTTCTTCTTAATACAGTGAAACCTCTTCTGTTTCAACTTCTATTGCCTCCAGTCTTTTTCTTCCTCGGTAGAGGGAGCACTTTCTTGTCCTGATTATTTAGAAACAACCCTGTGGTGGCATCATTTACTTCTCACAAAGTACTGCAAAGTGTATATCTCAAACATTTTCATTTGGCACTGTCCTAGCCTCAAGCAAACCTGGCTTCACAAGTGTTGGGAGAAGAACAACAGTATTGGAAACTGCTGCTAAACAATGGTTTTGTGAGTGAAGCTTGAGGGGGAAAACGGTAGGTAAGGAAGGATCATTTTTTTGGCCTGTGAATGGAATGGCTTGTGTGGTCACTCAGGAATTTGCAACTTATTCTTACTTTTTATTGCCTTTGCAGTTTGACTGTTTAAGTAGATGTGCAAAGTTATAATTGGATACGAGAGTACATACACTTGAGACAATTTGGATGCAACCTGTAATCTTACTGAAGCAAACTTGAACCCTAGTTAATTACTTTACATAAAAATATCTCTTCCCCAGACTACTACAGCAATTCACAGACTAGACTGTAGAATGCTATGAACATTAAATATTTATATTACAGCATCATTCAAAAGGCACATGGCTAATATGGACCCCATCACAAGCAGTTTGTGATACAAATGCCTTCAGGCTTAGAAAAGAACACCTAAAGAAAATGTCAGCAACTTGTGGCTGTGTATTGCTTTTGCACTTTTACCTCCAACTGCAATCACAACACAAACCTTATAAACACTATCAAAGCCCAGGCTAACAAATGAACCAAGTGCACTGGTGCTACTTAATAAAATTACCACTAGTTCTTTAAGAGTCAGTTTTAAAAAAACTTCCTCACTCATCACTCCTGACTCTCACTTCCAGTAATGATATAAACCTATGACAAATCCCACCACCCTGTTTTGCCAGTCTTAATGAGAAGCACTGCATTCTTAATTTGCAAAGGGCTATCACTTCCACTCTACCACCACTGCAGCAGCAATAACAATATGCTTTTATTGCATAGTTTAAAAAAATCCCCAAACCAACAGAACTCTCAACTTTTTTTCCCCAAAATCAGAAGTCAATAATTTTAAAAGCAGCTGGAAGTCAAGGGCATAAAATAACAGTATGTTATTATTATTTGATGCAATCACTTTTTAATAGCAAAGAGCCAGGTGACAGCAGCAGCCCATGCTAAAGTCTCAGCTTGATATTCAGGAAACATCTTGGAAATTGGGCAGCTTTCCCAGCAATGCAGTAGCAAACACAGAAGTGTGCATATCAAGTATAAGGGAATTGCTTATTGGCAGTACTATGCCTGTATAATGCAGCAGGAGCTGTAGAGCATTAAGTTTCTAGTACAACAAACACAATTAATCCCTTGGATAAAGGATAACCTGAAACTGTACCCCAACTCACAGTTCCCACAGTAACTTTATGTGATTCTGTAAGCGCTCTGGGATCTTTGTTTGTAAATAAATGTAGGAAGTACTGGCACCCAAGGCAACACAATTTTCCCAATTCATAGTAGTCCTTAGTGTGCCTAACAATTCAGTCACCAAAAATTGTTACAGATTAAAAGATTAGCAGTAACGCTCCACACAAATGTTGGTTTAGAATTTAAGATTAGGTGCTACCACAGATATAGCTGATCTTGAATAAGGGTTTGGCAAGCAATAATATGGATAAAAACCTAGGGTTGATGGTCTGTGTACTCTTTGACTTAAAAACATCCATTTTTGCTTTACATGAAACACAGTGCACGTCCCCCAGTTCTTATCTTCATTATTGCATTCTTCCATCCTTTTTTCTTTAGCCCTACATACAGCAGGCAGGTATAGAACATTTGCATGAGTGTCCATCTCACACTTACTAATAATTACACCTTTGACATCACCCAAGTAGCACTGCTATCCTTTAATTAGTAGTATTGTCCTACTTTACTCTTAAATGTTCCATGTACTGAAAGGAATAGTATCACCACAGGGTACAAAATGTAGAATGGATAATAAGAACAGATTGACAGGATATGTCTTACTCTTCTGCTTGAATGGAGTCCGCAGGAGCTACATAATTGCTTGGGATGTAGCCTGTTTTTCCTGTAGCAATGGATCGTGCTTCCCACCAGTCTCCTTCCCTGAAATGCCAGACCAGTTATCTCTTCCACATATAAACAATACATCACTCCCTGGCACCCATAATATCTTCACATATTAAAGGCAGGTTAAATTTAGGTAACATGTTATTTTAATTACAAAGGCATCTAAAATAGTTCATTCTGCACCTAAATATATTTTTCTTTTCATTTTAAGCAACATGAGTGCCTCTTAGTGCAATTTTGCATTTTAAAGATGTCAGGTTTGGGTTTGTTTAAAATGTAAAAGCAATTTATTGATATATGCAAAATGTAAACCTAAACCAAAATGTTTTACAGCAGATAGGTGTAAATAAACTTCCCAGTTCTCTGCTCTTCAACTGCCTCTCCCAGATCAATCCAATCTGCTTGTATGCTGACAGTGAGCAAGAAACGAAACACAAATTCAACTAATAAATCTAGAGAACTGGATGAATGAAAACTGCTACACATATGAATCAGAAATACTACCACAAATTATTTCCTTTTCACTAGACTTTGAGAAATCAGGCTGTAATACTGTAAAGCTGCTGCAATTGAACTAGAACATCAAATTACCCTAAACTACCTGAGCGTGGATTGACTGTGGAGACCAGCTAGATGCACTTCTATGGAGAGACGTCCCTGCCCACAGGCAGTGCACTCGCCTCCAGCACTTGCAGTGCAGCGCTGCCGGCTGCACACACCTCCTCGTGAGATACAAACACCTGTCAAAGAGAATCTGCAAGGTGCAGGGACTGGATGGGGTGGGACAGCCTGTGTCTCCACCTCTGCTGCCCCGTAGGTGGTTGCTATGCCTTGCTGGAGCAGGAGTAGAAGGATGCCACCCACCCAACCAACCAACCAAGAAAGAGAAGGCTTGGGGCTGCCCCAGTCACTAGAGTTCTACATCTGCACCCAAACCCTCACCTCAGCCTGAAGGTTACTGTACTACCAGTATTAATATTTTAACCCCATGCTTGTTGAACATTGAATGCATTCAAGAAAAAAAAATAAAATAAAAATTTAATCTACCCTTCACTGAAATAGCATACAAACATTTCAAGAAGCTTTAGGGATTCCCAAGAACAAGCAGGTGAAGTTTGCGAACAAGAACACTTACGTGTTATTTATTATCTGGAACCGTTCACCTTTTTTAAATGAAAGGTCATCTGTAGTTCTAGCTTCATAATCATATAAGGCCACAAATACAGTAACGCCACCTTAGGAAAAAGAAAAAAAACACACATGTTAAAGGAGTGACGTTGCAACACTTGACTGAAAGGCTTGTCCATGAAACAACTCATCAATTTTGAGTTGGACGCAAATAAGCACTCTGGGTTCCATCTCATTCTGGAAGCTGGATCAATAATCAGCTCATTTTTGAAGACAAATGAAAGCCTATAAACAGACACTCTAAAAATATGCCTCCACACTCCAAAAAAACCCAGCTCGATATATTAGTAATTATAGCACTTCTATACAGAAACTCTCACAACAAATCAGCAGTACAAAAAGCTGGCTTCTTTATTAAGCTTCTTAACAAGCTTCTTGTTAAGAAAGGCAATTCTAGAAGACCCTACAACACTACTATAGTGAACCATCAGCCACCAATTTTTACAAAAGTAGCTTCCTGTGGCACTTAGGTATATAAATAACTGATGTGTTTCCAACTTTATGGGGTTACACATCAAGATCTACTCAAGGAGATGAACCAGAAATAAAAGTATTCTGCTGGGACAAAGAAATTTCTCTGCTTTAGGACTAATGATTTTTTTAATTCCATCAAGTCTCCCCAGCAGTGAAGCAGACGCTTGCTGAGGACGATCTATCAGTGCATTATTCTAGAGAACATGGACCAAGATAAATCACAGGATGAACAGCTGCACTCCACCAAACCCAAGGAATTTGCTTCCCCATCATACTTCTGGTACAGGGCACATTGCTGAACATGTCTGAACATGTCCCGCAAACAGGACACGTGAGAGATGGATTGTAGGGAGGCTCCTGTATTTATGGTAGGAAAACTTTATCTGTACTTAAAAGAATTAATCTATAAAACTGGGCTAAAAGAGGGTGAGGGCAATGAGAACAGACTATATGAGATATACAAATGATAAGCAAAAATAAAGAACTATGTATCATAACAAGGAGAAAGTGCAAGTAAAAAAACCCTGTGTATGGGCAATTCAGGAAGACTTTCTAACCTCTAGAAATGCTATTTCACAGTCTAAAGACATTTAGGAAACCTAAAGATAGCCCAAGCAATACCTTATTATTGATTTTATAATATTACATCTATAACATGCACATCTGTGCATCAGGATACACATGAAAGATGACTAACAGAAACATGTTGCATCTAATTTTAGATCTTACAATTAACATGTTAGTGATCAGAAAGGAAGAATGTGTATTGTCTACATTTAATATTCTCTTGCAATGTACAGTTTCTGATACAAGCTCCTAATCACTTAAATATTTTCATTTGATTTAGAGCCTTCCTGTGATTAAAGTCTCTCAGCAGGCCTCAGCTGGAAATGAATTTACAGTTCCTCTAGGAAGAACAGAACAAAAAATCCCCACAGGAGGTTAGACTAATTGAGGGGTTTTTTCAAGTGTGATTTATGAATGGAAATGAATTAGAATATTCTCTAGAAGTCAACAGTGCCTAATCTAAGTTAAAAACTGACATATTTCTACCAAATCCTGCTAGCATTACTACATTATTTTGATGATGCAAACTGCCACAGGGAGCAAGAAAATTGTGGGAATACATACCGCGTCTCCACAAAGAAAAGCCAAATGTTATGGAAATAAACCGGGCAGTTCTTGAGCACATGAAGGAAATCAATACTCTCAGTTCACAGAATCACAAAGTTTTTAACTGCATTTAAAGAAAATTAAAGACTCCAGGCACTTTGAAACAAACTGTACAACATCTAGTAAGATACTAATGTGGGAACAAGAGAAAGATTAATTCCTTTAGACAGTGTAGCACTAAAAAAAGTAATGGATACAAATGTAAACCATGCAATAAAAAATAATCAGTAATGGTCAATATTTGTGTAGTCTTAAGTAATTTTAAAGAAGGATTTGGAAAAGATAACATAACCCTTGCAAAGGTTATATTTCAAACACTTCAGTTTCATTCTCACTCACAAGTGTTATTTATTCCATAGCAAAGAAAACAAAACACTTCAGGACACAGCATCAGCACAGAATGTTTTAAACAAACACACTGCTCAAACAATTTTTGACCTTTTTTTGAAGAGGTTTTCTTTGTGAATCACTGCAAGGTGATCTAGTTTAGCTGTTCAAGCTATTTGTGATTATAACATTTCCCTTAAAGATTATCCTTTCAGTAGGTCAGTATTCCCATCTTCTAATCTAGGACTGGTTTTGGCGAGAAGACTTTATGTTCTTCAGCATGAGGACTCCAGAGCACCAGTACTTAAACAGCTTAATGGAAGGCAAGAACAGCAGTCCATTTTTCTGGTTTGATTTTTAGTAGCATTTTATGAATTCAAAGTATTTGATGACTGTGTGATACAGGAGCAGTGTGACTAATTTACATTTCTTCTCCTTTCCTGCTCTAAGGAATAAAAGATGGCTCAACTCCTTTCAGCCACACTATAGGCTACGATGACAACCATATCATCCTCTTGTCAGACATCATGGATGGACTGGGAAAGTAATACTGACACTTATGTCCTGTTTCACAAGCCCATCTATTCTCCCCTTTTTTGAAACAAAGGGCCATATAATGCAATCCTGTGTTTTATTTGTCCCAAATACAAAAAGCTTACAGCCAAATCAAGTTCATTATCTTAGAATCATAGAATCATCCTGGTTGGAAGGGACCCAGATGATCATCAAGACAATCATAACCTAAATCCCCCTACCATAACCTAATTTACCTGTTCAGTGCTTAAATCATGTCACTAAGCACTACATCTGTGTGTCTTTTAAACACTTCCAGGGATAGTGACTCCACCACCTCCCTGGGCAGCCTGTTCCACTGTCCAACCACTCTTTTGGTAAAGAAATTCTTTCTAACGTCTAGTCTAAACCTCCCCTGGTGCAGCTTCAGGCCATTTCCTCTCATCCTGTCATTGTTCACTTGAGAGGCCAGCTCCCACCTCCATGCAACCTCCTTTCATGTAATTGCAGAGAGCAATGAGGTCTCCCCTCAGCCTCCTTCAAACTTATATATTCACAAAAAACACCCAATTTTGATTGAGCTGAAAATCAGTACTGAATGTACCGAAGAATTGCTGGAGCAATTTTATTTACTTATTGTTAACGTGTGCTTGTTTGTGGAGGGGCTGGTTTTACAAAACGAGGAGGAATAATTATATATGCAGTATCATTTTACTTGATCACAAAATGATGTGAGCATTTGGGCAAATTAGTGTGCCTGCTGACAACAAAATTTGTACTGACCATTTGTAGACAACCTTTTCATGAGAGAACTCTACCAGCAGGAACAGGGACAGGCAAGAACACATCCCTCCTGAATCTGTGACTCCTGGGAGGGGCTACATCCCTGATGCCTGGTTATGCCCAGGACTGCCTGCACACACTGCTGGAGATTCCCATGTGAACAGAGAACCAGACCTAGTATGAAGAAATACAGACAGGTTCTCGGAGGACATAAAGATTTCTTTACGCATGACTAAAATTTCCTTAGTCCTTTATTCATTAGTGGAGCTAATGAATAAAAATAAATGCTGCCCTTATTTAATTTCTGCATACACAAATTCTGGCTCAGAAACTTTGAGACAGGGTAGATGCTTGTTTCAATTATTTGATTTTTAATTAACTTCCCAAAAGGGAAAACGAGGTGATTATTACCTGGCAATTCATATTTGGTTTCCTGAATTGCTTAATGTCAAGCCCACAGTGGGTTTTCTTGGCTCTCCAATTTCTTGTGTTTAAAGGATTTTAAATGCCACTGTAACAAAGCAAACATTTAAGCACTCTAATTGTTCTAACATTAGAGGTTTGTGGGAAAACTACAAGTAAGACTAATTAGAAATTATTTACAATGCTTTCTGAAGTGTCTGTGCAAAGCTTCTAGAATAAATTACTTTCCTCTCTCTCTCTCTCTCTTAGAAAATAAGTGAGAGCTTCCTCTCCAAAATGTCCAGCAAAACTAAGCAAACCACTGAGCTTAGCCATGTGCACAAAATCAATGTTTATGTAATGAAGTCTTAAGATTTTGATATAAAGGTGGGTTTATAACATCAAATGTGCATACTGCTATAAAACACTGCATCTTCAGAGACTTTCTATCTCAACCAAGAAGGTCTCTATGCCTCTTAAATTTTATTTTTACATTTTCAACTTTGGTTTTAATATGACCACCAACAATGAGAATTCTGCTCTTTTGTTTCACACATGTTCATATAGTAAAGTATACAGAGTATACTGCATATCCATGAGTGCTGAGAGAGTTGGTTGATGTTGCTGCTCTACCACTCCGCATCATATTCACAAGTTCACAGCAAACAGGAGAGGTGCCTGAGAACTGCAGGAAAGCCAATGTCACTCCAGTCTTCAAAAAGGGAAGAAGGATGATCCAGGAAACTACAGAGCAGTCGGCCTCACCTTCATCCCTGGAAAAATGATGGAGCAGCTCATTCTGGGGGCCATCTCTAACCACATGGTTATCAGGAGTAGCCAGCATGGATTTACCAAGGGGAAATCATGTACTGACTAATCTGATATCCTTCTATGATGTTGTGACTGAATAGACAGGGAGACCAGTGGATGTGTCTACCTTGACCTTAGCAAGGCTTTTGACACAGTCTCCCATAACGTCTTTGTAAGCAAGCTGAGGAAGTGTGGGGTAGAAGAGTGGACCGTGAGATGGATTAAGAACTGGCTAAACAATAGGGCCCAGAGGGTAGTGATCAATGGTGCAGAGTCCAGCTAGTGGAGTTCTTCAGGGACCACTGCTGGGTCCAGTCCTGTTCAACATCTTCATCAACAACTTGGATGAAGGGAGAGAGTGTATCCTCAGCAAGTTTGTGGATGATACCAAACTGGGAGAATTGGCTGATTCACCTGAAGGCTGTGCTGCTGTTCAGTGAGATCTAGACAGACTGGAGAGCTGGGAAAAGAGGAACCTAATCAGGTTCCACGAGAGTAAGTGTAGAGTCCTGCACATGGGGAGGAACAACAACATGCACCAGTACAAATTAGGAGCTGACCTGCTAGAAAGGAGCTCCATGGAGAAGTACCTTGGAGTCCTGGTAGACCACAAGTTATCCATGGGACAGCAATGTGCCTTTCTGGCTAAGAAGGCCAAGGGTATTTTGGGGTGCATTCAGAAAAGCATGTCCAGTAGTTCAAAGGCAGTACTCCGCCCTAGTGAGACTCCACCTGGAGTACTGTATCCAGTTCTGGGCTCCCTACTTCAAGAAGAACATGGATTTACTTGAGAGAGTCCAATGGCAGGCTATGCGGATGATTAAGGGACTGGAAAACCTGTCTTATGAGGAAAGGCTGAGAGACCTAGGACTGTTTAGTCTAGAGAAGAGAAGACCAAGAGGGGATCTAATTGATGTATATAAATATCTGAAGGGTGGGTGTCAAGAAGGAGGGGCCAATCTCTTTCCAGTCATGCCCTGTGATAGGACAAGGGGCAGTGGATGCAAACTAGAACACAGGAAGTTCCACCCCAACATGAGGAAGAATTTCTTTACTCTAAAGGCTACAGAGCACTGGAACAGGCTGCCTAAAGAGGTTGTGGAGTCTCCTTCTCTGGAGACTTTCAAGACCTGTCTGGATGTGTTTCTGTGTGACCTGCCCTAGATTCTGTGGTGGTCCTGCTCTGGCAGGGGGGTTAGACTCGATGATCTCCAAAGGTCCTTTCCAACCCCCACCATTCCGTGATACCCTGTTTAGCTTTACAAGTTAATGGATCCAATGTTGCGTAAGTAACTTACAGCTAATAAAATAAGTTTGAAAATTAGTTTAAAATGTAATTTTCCTGAATTTGAAGCATTTTTCATTTGGTCCTCTCTCCAAAAGTTTAAAGCCATTACTCTGTGTGCATCCCTTCAACTCCTTAAAACTTCCAACACAATTTTATCAACTGTTCCTATTACTGCCTTTAATAAGACTTAAATTTGTCTGTGCAGTGATCCTAAAAAACCCCTCTAAAACAAAAAAACAAAACACTAACCCCCTGAGCTCTGGTCACTAGTGAGTATGGGCTGAATTATTATCTGAGCAATAAAAGATATTGAAAATCAGAAATTCCTAAAAGGCAATTTATTTTAAATTTGCAGTTTACCTCTGTATGGCAAGGGGTCATAGTATTTTTTTTAATGACTGTCAAGCCATATTAACAACAACAACAGTGATAATAATATAAATAGCACCATTTTATGTAACGCTCACCTGTTAAAGTACTAGGATATGGACTTGGCACAGCTGAAAACGAAGATGATGCTCCTCCAAAGGGTGTCATTCCTGAAGGCCCTCCAAAAGGAGTCATGGAATGACTATTAAAATTAACTGCTGATCCCTTTATTGACGGTGACTGTGTTGCTTGGCTGGAATCTGATCCATAATGGCTCACATGAGAAATAGGAGGTTCTGGAGTATTATCAGTTCTGTATTTCATGGCTGGACCTTTATCTTCTTTGCTTTTAATGCACCCCATGGTTGCTTCTGTGAGAAAGAAATAAAAAGAAAAAAGAGTTAATCTCCATGTTGTGTCTTTTTATAATTAACAGATAGAATTCCCAAGAAGTTACCAAAAATGCTGATTTATTACTGTTTATAAAACCCAAACCAACCTCCAATGATTGCTACCACATGCAGACTATTAACTCCAGTGAGGAAGTGTTCTGGAAGAAAATCTAAGACGCTCCTGCCCTAGAGAAGACCTAATTATTTGCCCTAACAATATCACATACTAGCAGCACACTTGAATATTCTTCATTCCAGTCCCTTGATGGACTGTAAACGGTAAAAAAGAAAAAGAAAAAAAAGAGGGAAGCAGGCAAGATGAGGAAAAGATACCAAAGACTTCTATAGCAGGGTGGAAGGCAAAACAGAGGTCAATTATATAAAGCAAATCCAAAGCAATGACATGAAGAAAATGAAAGTGGCATTTCTACTTTCTTTTTTAAGCAACTATGCAATAAAGTTCTGTGTTGCTGATGGTATTACAACTAACATCTTTAAAGACACAGATAAGTTTTCATGCATTGCTAGACCCCCAGACAGAAGTCATAAAGAAACCTGGATTATTCATGACCACAGGATAGGGTTAAGCTCTAGAGCCTAACTAGAATTTAAAAAAAATAAAAAATGGAAGAATAATAACAACATCTGTAGTGGTTCAGAGACTGAATTGTGTCTGGACCAGTGGAAATTTGTAGCCCTCCAATGTTGCCACCAGCTCTCACTACTGTGTGAGAGCTGTTTACTAGGGGGACACCTACTACCTGCTGATGGAGCTAATCAAGAGAGAAGATGTGTCACCAACATTTAAAATTACTTTGTCTGAAGAAGTCACCAGCTGCCATTTATCAGGTGGTGACAAATGATAGCAGGCATTTTCTGACTCATCCCAGCTGGGAAACAAATCAGGAAGAAAACGGGAGCATCTATTAGATGCAGCACTCATCTGGCATGGAAATTCTTACATCCTTGGGAAAAAAGAAGTTAAAAATCTACTTTAACTGCATAAGGAGAAACCTCCATAAAAACAGGAAATCAATTGCTCAGTACTCTCTAATGAATCAGTTAAAAACCAAACAGCAGCAGTCTGAAAGCATTAAAATATAACTTGATAACTACAACAACAGTTTCATAGACTCTTAACTAACAGCTAAGGAAAGTTTGCCATTACGTATCTAGCTATTTTTTTCCTTTTCAGTTTTCTCTTGTCTTGTTAACTATTAGACACAGAAATAAGGGACAAAGTAAATTTTATTAACTAAATACTGCCTTAATGTAGTCACACTGAGAGAAACTAATTCTCTCAGTATAACTAACCATTACAGTATTAAAAATACTGTAATTTCCTCAAAAACAGTGAATCAGAGTTCCTGGAAAGAAGTGAAACACCATATGAAACTGACTGCTCATAATACTAAGAAAATTCACCCTGTCAATTCAGCCCCTGATGCTATAATGTAATACAATTACTGGTGCAGAAACAAGCAGCAACAAAGTAAAACACCTGCATTTTTACAAAACTTATCTGAGAGTTTTACACAGAATAATGAAACATCATAAAGCACATCCTTTTTTTTTTTTTTTTTACTTTTGATACTCTTATTGCCAACTTAGTAATCCTGCAGAAATTTTAATAGAGCAAGACTCAAGTACATACATGAAGAACATAATATGTCTAAATACTTTACAAAAAAAGCCTTAGAACCTAGAGTACAAAAGCCAGTTATTAAGTCTCAATACAAGTCAATCAAACATCTAATCATATTATTTTAATTTCTCTACCACTGCAAATAGATGCTGTAATTGTAACCATTTTTTTCTGGCCATGTGGCTGCCTAGTGTGAATTCCTGCTTTACTTTGAGCCCTATTTCTTTGATTCTCTTTAAAAAAACTGCAGTTTTCTGCTACCACTGAATACAGGTGAAATTACCTTTGCAAAAATATATTAGCTGAGAACATTGATTTGGTTCAAAGTTGAGCATCCCACATGACTGAAAAGTCCAATGCACTACTTATGTTAACAAAGTAGATTAAAAGGGAAATGTATGAACATCTGTATGATTAACTGTTCACCACAAATATTATTTCTCTTTTACTTCTGGCATTTGATTAACTTGTAAGAGGCTGGTAACATTTCAAGATTTGCAAAAAACAAACAAGCAAACAAACAAAACCCCAACAATTTACCAGTTCTGATAAAACTGTCAGATTTTACCCACAGTATTGCTGAATTGACTAAATGGCTGGTGACAAGACTACTCTGTACTGCAGTTGTAACTGGTATCAGCTACACTTGCTCACCTGTGTAAATTGTGTTATCAGCAAAAAGTTACCACTGCTGTACTTGAGTGCCACAAAGACAAGCCCTTATTGAAGGTCTGAATTCATCCTACAGAAACAGAATCAGCCTGTCCCTTGATCCCTCCCCAGCCACTTCACTGTTAAGGTAATCTTCTTTCAGGAGTTAAAAAGATTAACAACAGCGATTCAATCAGCACTTCTAAAAGAAAGACATCCAGAAAAAAAGCAGACAAAAATTTAAAAGCTCTACTTTATAACTGCACACCCACCAAAAAAAGTCAAGGAAGCAAACCCCATAGCTTTTAGAAGTCAAAGACATAGGTGGAACTTACTATAAAATACTGTGTATGGATTTGTGAGGAGATATTAAAGGAATGAGAAGAAAGAAGATGACATAAACCAAGAGTGAATAGCAGGGAAGGCAGAAATGATTGGCCACAATATAGGGGAAAAACCCAATGACTTACTACTGTTAGTCTTGTAATATAATATTAGAAGAAAAAAAAAAATCCCTAAGCAGATCATATGCAATGTTGGATTTGATTACTCCAGTACTCTATTTGTTATTAAAAATGTATGTAACTGAAATAACTTACAACTATTTGTATCACCCTTTGTCTGACCAGCACAATCAAGGCATATATTTCTGTCATAAAATTAATGAACTTCTTTCTGAAGCATGGAACTTTTGTTAGAAATAGATACAAATTAAAAGTTCCTGTTTCCTCTGTAGAAGTCCATCTATTCAAAGAAATGCTGGCCCAAACTATGTTATTCACAAGCCCCCCGATCCATTCCCATCAGTTAAATCATTAATTTAGACCAGACTGGTGTCTGCAGCAAACTACTTGAGTAACTTCAGCAGCTTGTTCTTTCATGTGCTTGGTGGGCAGGTTAGGAGTCAAACTGCTGGAGGTCTATGAGGTGACTATATTCAGAAAGGCATGTAGTTTTGCTTTCTATGTGAAAACAGTCCTGTGTTATTTTCAAGAAGTAGAAGCTAAAATGATTATTAGAAGGACAGCTGAAGGTTAGCAGGCTGCCCATAAAAATCAATAGAAGACTGAGAGTACTCCAGGAAGCAGTCATCAAATGAGATTTTGGTGACATCTAATTCGACTTGGGCTTTTTTGAGAAGTTATTGTGGTTCAATACTCTACAAAGAACTCTCAGACAATGATATCAGACCCTTAATAACCCCTCTGCTAAAAAAGAGAGCTCCAAGAAAGTCAATGCCCTCTTATCTTCCAGACTCCATTTTATAGCAGAGTGCCAGATCATGAGGAAAGTTTTGTTTAACAACAATCAAAAAGTGCGGCCAGTGAAGTCTTTGTGGGCTTTTTTTTCTGCTTTCCTTTGAGAAGGACGATCTACGAGCCCAAGAAACATGAGATTTCCCTCGAGAGCCATCATATCCTAAGATACTGACAAACTGTTCCCTTGAGCTGGGTGCAGCCTTTTTCAGCCAGCCTGCAGAGGTGGGTGTTGCAAGGGAACCACTTGTCTGTCTGATGTATCTCACTCTT